ATCACTATGGTCTAGGGGCCTCACGTGTCACTCGGTCGTTCGGTTCAAGTACGCGCTGAAATCGGCGATGCCTATAACCTGAACTGCTGCTGAATTTTACGAAGGTATTCGTTCACAGTTCTGCTGCATTCCAGGAATACTGACCAAGATGGTGCGCCAACGAAAGTTCCGATCCCTCCATGATAATCACTGGTACGGAAAATCTCAGGTCATGACTAAAGGAATCCAGCCGATCTAAATTATTCAAACTGAACATCTTTCATTGCTGAAAACCACTCTGTTACACTCCTGATCTCATTCAGTCCGGTCGTTCACCTTGTCACACTTGATCCTGGTTTACCATGAGGCCTTTTTCATATTCGGGGCGGTCTGAAGCAGCTGCTGAAATCGTTCCTTACCCTCATCTACACACAGTATACGTTTTAACGTTGTCTGGTTCGATGTTGTCCACATCCGTCTTTTTATCGTCTTCTTAATTATCACCTATCGCTAACACCTTCTAGTATCCAGTGCGATTAGAAATAAATTTACGGAATTTTCTTGATAGGTCAGCCCAACTTGATTGCATAACTTTGCCGGTCATCCACGCGTTTTTGTCGGTTAACACTTGCGCTCCCTCTTGGTTTGCGAGCAACGAACCTTGAATAATAATCCACGTTACTTCAATGAGACAAAAAGGCTCTACAAGGCGGTGAGCAATGCTCGCTACTGACTAACTATATCCTGACACTTGACCGCTCCAAAGAGTGTAAAAAAACAACGTTTACTTCCTTATCTATTTCTCCACTGGTCCCACGGTGACCTTATTTGCCTTTTGCATCTTCAAATCACTTTCCAAATCCCGACCGCTATGACACTCGGAGTCGATATCAATCGATCGATGAAACCAATCATGTGTTGACAGAGGTTTGTATGTATGTTATCACTCCGTTCAATATAAGTATGTGCTCNCATTAGGTATCTCATATATGGAAACTCACTTTGGACTGCGGTACAAACCAACTTAGATTCATCAAAAACATCAAATTATTTTTAATTTTGTTTGTTAGCTAATAAAACAAGCATTATGTAATGTTTTTTGCATCTGAATCTTAGAACAAACCCCGGGAAGTTCTTACATATTTTTCTTCCTTCTGGACGGTTCCAATCATAAGGAACTTTCGAGAGGTCATCCTTCTTGTTTAGTGGAAATGATCTTATTGAAATACAACACCCTACCTTGGTGTCCTCTGTTATTACAAACCCAACCAGACTGGCTCATATCTTGCAAATCATATCACATAGGACCTGAACTCACTTCACAGAGCATTTTACCTCACGAAATTTATGAATTCCTTGTTGATAGTGCTGTACAGTGACGGTCTTGAACTTATCTCTATATCTGCTGATTTTTTTTCGGTTATTTCACTGCATACCTCGTGAACACTAAAGCACTAAGACGTTGTTTTATAGCTTATCCCCGCAAGGCCAGTAAAACTGTCAGGAAGGTCATATTTTATGAGGAAAAACCGGTCCAAACACTCAATTTTGAGAGCACTACTCAACCGACAAAATCCGTAAACTTGGTAATCCCCCGGACTCCTTGGACTGGCAAAACAGTGTGGGTGTCTTCAGTCGGGCGGTCTGACATATCTGTTTGATCAACACTGACGTGCAGCTCAGAATGTATCAAATGATAGAGTTTTGAGACAGTCTCTGACAGTTTTTTTATTTACTCTGCTGTTCTGCACCACTCTACCCGGTTCTCTTTACTTCCGGGAGTCGGAGGTGTCATAGTTCTCAGACCATAGCAAGCAAGTTTACTGGGTTGTATCTTATCTGACCGGTCTTGTTCTCTACATGATGGTTTTAATAAGTGCCTCTCTTTCTAGTCGCCTTTACAAAAATATCTATGTATGCACGCGCTACGGCTGACAGGCTTTTTGCAGTTCATCACTTGCCTTTGTCTTTTGACAAATCAAGAACTCAATACTAAATTACTCAAGGTTAAGATACTACTACTTTTTGCAGTGTTTTTGCTACCTGTCTGTTACTGTTCGAATGAGCAATTTACATGCAATTTATTATTGTTTATTGCTTAGTGATCTTGTGACTGAGGAATATTATTTACTCATCGGCGGGCACAAAGCGACTAGCTGACTGGACATTATTCTACAAAATTATGAACTACACATTTTCCCATCAGGCTTTAACCAAAACCGGCAATCCTTTAGCTTTTACCCACGTTCCTTTAGCCAAAATCTGATTTTGATTGTAAAATCTGCCTTGAGAAAGGTTACCCACGGTAACCGAAACGCCGGCGAATATAATTCTCTACCGACATCGCTGTGTTAATAATACTATAACATTAACAAAATCCGTAATTCTTTAGCCACGACCCGCAGTTCTTTAGCCTCGACGTACAACTTCTAGCCACATCGCTGTAGGCGAGTCAGATCGAAACTATCGGAATATTCTGAGGTCAAAGAATGTTGAAAAAATTATTTTTTTACAAATTTTGATATTGCAAAGCTTGGCTAAGAAATGAGATGTGACGATCGTGTGCTGCACAGTTGATTGTAGTAACGATACCAAATGCCTCACCAAATATTGTTTTGTGTAGGTTCAAACGACGTGCCCGTATCCTCAAACCATTTGGCACATCTCGTATGGCTCCAGCGTTTGCAGTGAACTACTTTTTAAGGTACAAAATAATCAGCCAATTCGAGGGTTAGAATTGCTCACCTGTTTGAATTTAATAAATATCTCTTCCACTGGATTAAAAAAGGACTGTATGGTGGAAGAAAACAAATTTGGTAGTT